CGCGGTGGGTGATGATGATGAGGATGTACCCGACACGATGGATGAGATCATCCAGCAAGGTCGCTTGAGGAAGGAGGAAGCCGCACGAGAACGAGAGGAGCTGGAACGCCAACGAGGGGATTTGGACAAAGAGTTCTCTGACATCAGGGGTGAGCTGAGTTTCCGTCCTACTAAGCTGGCCAGGCCGATTGAACGAGTGGAAGCTGATAGCTACGACAAGTTGCTGAAGGAGTTTGTTTTTGACAGGAAGGCCACAGCCACCGAACGTACCAAAACTCCAGAGGAGATTGCTCGTGAGAAAGCCGAAAAGCTTGAAGCTTTGGAGCGTCAACGTCTCGCGCGAGCTGATGGTTTAGCAGACGACCTTGATGTTGAGGTGAGTGATGCAGATGGAGATTCAGCTCAGATGGTCGAAGAGGGAGGAGAAGAAGAGGAAGAGGAAGAGGAGCTGGAGGAAGATGCTGCCATAGAGGAGAAGGATGAGAAGGGTGAGGACGGGGCAGAGGCTGATGATGAGGATGATAAGCTTGGGGAGAATTGCATCAAGCTTATGACAGCGATAGAGGCTGAGAAACCTCACCGCAACTACATGAAGAACACGCGCGCAGAAGAACCCCGAAACTGCAGAGCACACTTTTTCGCATCATGTTGTAAAACGTGTTTGTGCAAGACTGCACGATTTGTCTTGGGTAGGAACAAGAAGCTACTAGGAGCAAAGGGCATCGCTACTAGGAACAAGAAGCTACTAGTAGCTCCTGGCATCGCTACTAGGAACAAGGACGCTACTAGGGGCTCCTGGCCGTACTACTAGGAGCAAGAAGCTACTAGAAACAATAATAATTGACTTGTGTTGGGTTCATTGCTGAGCAGATGCCACAGAGTCTGAAGAGAGAGATTTCTGCAGCAAGAGGACTCAACAGCTTCGGCGTGTTGAAGCAAGCAAACGACGTGGAGTTTTTTGACTCAAAACTGTTTAAGGCAAGTGACATATTTTCAAGCTTGGGGCCCATGACCTGTGAAATGTGTGGCCGTATGTTTGAGGGTCTAGTAGCATCCTTGCTCCTAGTAGTATGGCAAGGAGCCCCTAGCTATTTAGCTCCTAGTAGTAATGCCAGGAACTACTAGTAGCATCCTTGCTCCTAGTAGTTATTAGATTTGTCCAGAATGGACAAGGAGGGCCTACCCTTCGCACCAGAATGCCCATCGGATCGTTTGGGAGTGGAGCGGCTTTTGCAAAGCCATTCGCCAGAGACGTGCCTCAAGCTGGTCCAACGCAGCACGGCGAAATGCAGTTTTGTTGAACGGTTTTGTTGAAAGGCATCCTTTGCAGAGTTCAGCAGCTAGTTCGGTGTGCAACCCATGACCACGAATGAATGATTGGGAAGTCATGAATGTATTCCGTTTCTGATTGGTGGGTCATGATTTGCCACTGTTCATCTCGTGCGGCGTTTTGCCCGCGAAGCTCGCGGGGACGGCCGGCTGGGACGCGAGGTGTTCGGACGCGCACGGCTGTGGCCCTGGCGGCCGAGAACCGCACAAAGCTTCGGAGTTTCTTCTTGGCCTTGCTGGACTTCACCATCAATGTCATGGCTCGTAGCGATGGAGACATTAGCGCAACCGGCATGAGAACAGCCTACGCCTTGCGTGGTCCTTTGTTGGATTTGGCCAATGAATTTCCAGAGGATGCGACCAGCTACTTTCTCGAACTCTTACAGGACTTGGGCCCTGAAACTGCACCAAAAGCGCGGGAGCTTTCGGCTTTGAAGTTGATTCCACTCATATTTCCCACCACTGACTTTCAACATCCTGTCGTTACACCTGCGACTCTGCTTGCCGATCATTGGGCCTTGCAACTGGCTCAGCTTGGAGAGAACATCCAGGAGCTCGTCTCGGAGGGCACCATGTGGCCCGGTTTGAAAGAGATGCCGCAGCACACCGCATGGCTACCAGGTCACAGGTTATACACGCAGCTCACCAGGGTTCTGGCAGGTCGAGCATGTTGCGCATCATATCGCTTTAAAAGCCAGTTATGAGCAGACCTCTTTTTGGCATCCTTTGGGAATTTAGATGCTGGGTCCTTCATATTAGGCAGTTGGCTGAAATGTGGTTTACCCTTCTTGTTTTCATGTTTTGTCTTCTACCACAATCGATTCTCCGCAATCCCTCAGGTTTCGCAGGCATTTTTGCAATGGTTGGTCGACGGGTCAAAGTGTCTACTGCAATGACCCCAGGACATCCCCACACCTTTGCAGGTGAGGACGCTACTAGTAACAAAGGGCATCGCTACTAGAAGCAAGGACGCTACTAGTAGCTCCTGGCCTTACTACTAGTAACAAGAAGCTACTAGTAGCAAAGGGCATCGCTACTCGGGTAGCTGATATTAGGCATTGCAATGCACGCAGTGACGCCCCCCCATCTACTGCACCTTGGGATCAAGGGAGGTCAACAGACCATAGAAAGCCTTCCTAAATTCCTAAATATGAAATTGTCCTTGTTGTCT